GAAGGCTCCTGCCCTCGGCTTCGGAGGAAACTCTCCAGCTACGCTTCTGGCACCTTCCTAGCACATGGATTTACACTAAACCCTGGCTAGAGGCGGAGAAGCAAGAGGCAGCGTTTTACAGCTCAGCCCAGCTGGACGGACGGCAGTTGTGTGCTACAGGGCACCTCCCTGACTCACAACAATCCCGTTTCATTTCAGTTTACTGTGGTGAATGGCAAAAACACTCCCGCTGTGGAGAAGGGGATGCATACAGCTTCAGGCATTGGCCAGCCTAAAAACAGAGGTCACTACTGCTCCTTGTGGCGAGGAGGGAGCCTCTGGGGCAGGATGGCTTTGGAAAGCTCTTGCGTTACTGATCTCATTTAATGGCCCATTTAAGTTCTCATTGAATTCAATGAAAAACTCCCCTTGACTTCTGTGGAAAGGGCCATACTCTGAGTTAAAAAAAATAAATTCTTTTTTTCCCCCAGGGAGAGCAGCTACCGCTTTAGAAGAATAATTACCACAGTGGACATAAGTAAGAAAAAGACCTGTAGTACTTACTTGTTTCAGGCAGTTTCGAGCATATGATTAAACTGCGGTACAAGTTGTTTGTCAGTTTTTGCTCTGCAATTCTTCTGAATTCCACTTCTTTCCAAGTGCCAGTGTTTAAAATCTCAGCCTTTACTTTGAATATTGTTGCTCTTTTCATCTTGACTCACCACCACCTTGATGCAGCTTGCGATAAGTGAACGCATGTATTTTTTTTTTCCACGTTACAACATAATGGAGAGAGGCTTAAACTTTTCAGACAGATTTTTTTGACTCCTTAAAGGCAGAATGCTGTGAGTCACAAGAACTATGGCACGCCTCGCTATATAAACGTTATGTGCATGTTTGTACTTTCTCCTTAAAAACATTTAGGAAAGAGAAAGGAGGATCCAATGCTGCATCAATTGTCACCAACTTTTTTTTGGCTGACACATATAAGTATTATGAACCCAAAAAGAAGTTTTACAGGGGGGTTCACTAGTACTATTGATTTTTACATGGAAAAATGCCTTTTTTTCCCCCCCATGTTCCCCCGTAGCAGACTGTAGTACAAAGCCATAAGATAGATGTGCTTCCCTTGCGCACTCATACATATACATGCATTTAAGTGCCTTTTACACTGTTGCTCGAAGGCTTTTAGATTACAGTCTCTCAGCAAATACAGTCGCTAAGCACACAGCTCTAACCCGAAGAATATGATGGATTCAAACCAGCAGACAGGTGGTTATTGTAAAATCTAATTTCAAATCTGCATATGGCTGATGCTCTGATTAAGCTCTGCTTCTACAGCACTCAGAATAAACAGACCCATTTGACATGATGACAACATAACCTTTGGATGTCCTTTGCTGTGCACGCTCTGTGTCTGATAAGACACATTCCATACTTCCCACATGTAATGGCTGCAATGCAGATTGCAAAGCTTGCAAATGCAAAATTTCTATGCAGAAAACAAGGTAATTAACACTGCTTTTGCAGAATATGGTTTTATGATAGATTTCTGTTCTTACTGATGTTAATACACATTGGGAATAACATCAGCCACATCCAGAGCATTCGCTTGAATCATTACAGCCAGCCCAGCAAGTAGCAAAATCTACCTCCAGCACAGCAAATCAGTTCAGCAGCTTCTCGGACAAACAGAACCAGGGCTGCTGGTATTCAAAATGCCACATCTGCATGTGTCTTCCAAACCCTAGTTAAAGCCTTTCAGCTGCTTCATGCCTTAAAGTTAAGAGAGAAGAGCATCACTCTGAAAAAGTGGAGAAAGAAAAGAAGGGAAAGAAATCTGATGGCTATTTCAAAGGATTTTCATTTGAATCTTCCTAAAGCAATTGGCAATGCTTTTTTCTGCTGCAAGGGGGAAAACAAGGAGAAAAGTGGTGGTGCAAGATAAGATGAGATGTCTTACTCTGCTGTTCATACGCCAAGTCCTTATCATCATCACTTGAGCCTGCTGGAATAGCCGGCTACCACTCTGCCTAAAAATAAGCTGCTTATCCCCAGATGTTTTTGTAAATGGCAAGCCATTGTAGCTGGTGCTTCCCCACTGCTGTTGGCAGCCCATAAAGGTCCAGCTTCTCTCATCATTACAGGATTAGCTTCGTTCGCCACAGCATCAGCCCTCCAACAAAAGCATCTCAGATTCACTCTTCCAGAGCCATCTCTAGCAACATGCTTGCCTCCTTGCAGGTTTCATGGAAATGCAGTTTCCCTCTGTGTTTTTTCAGGCCTTTTTCTGCCTTGGCCTTTGTACCCTGAAGAGGCA